AATACACATATAAAAATACATAATAAAAAATAATTTAAATACATAAAAACATATAAATAACATCAAAATACTCACGTGGTATATATTAATATATAATATTTTGCATATTAACTATATATAATAAATAAATATATTGCACACACATACATATGGATACAGCAAAGGGCTGCTTAGGACAGATGGAGCCAAGAATTGCCCAAATCTTGGCTTGTCCCACGACCTGCCACCAAGATGAGTTAAATGCATCCCAACACCCTGGGGACCCATGTGTGCCCAGCTTCCTCGTGCCTCCTTGGCACCTCTTGGCCAAGACACCTCCATGACATGCCTGCTTCATGGCAGTTCTTCAGCTGGCTGCTAAATCCGCTTTCTAGGACCTTTTTTTTTTTTTGCCTTACCTTTTGTTTTTTTTTTACTTTACTCAAAGCCCATCAGAAAACACGAGTGGCTGCCAGGATGGAAAGCAGAGCTGCGGGATGGGGCTGGCGGTGCCCTGGGAGGGTGGCACGATGGCTCTGGTGCTTACAACCCACGGGCTTACCTGGAGAACCTGAACCATCAGAAAAGGACAAATCCCCAGTTTCCCAGCTGGACTCAACTCCGAGAGCCTGCTAAGGGTAATTTAAAGCCAGCAGTTTGTGCTTGCCTTAAGCTATTGATTGAGCCCACGATCGCACACCTTCCCTCCTCCCTTGCCAATTCTTGCCCAGGCAGACTGACAGCAAACACCACCGCTCCCAACACGGAGATAAAAAAAACCCGCTTGCCAACAGGGTGGTACTGCGCTCCACCTCAAAATACTGCTTTTAGCAACCCGATCTATGCCAGGCACACGAGCCACGCTTGCTATTTCTTTGTGACACTTTGAAGACATGTTGCAGCCACCGAGAGCTCAATGCTTCATTGCCAGCGAGGGAAAACCCCACCCCAGCGCTCCCAATAAAGGCTCTTGCTGTTTTGCGCTCTGTCATCTGTCCACGTGTTGAGAAGTTTTAATCCTGTACCTATGCCCTGTAACAGCAAATTTCAAGGCCAGCCAGAAGGAAAACCCCACACCCTAGTTAGCAGAAAACACTCTGGAGCTCAGTACACGAAACGACAGTACTATAAACCAGAAGCATTTGTCCCATTAAGGTTTCCATTTGTAGACAGAACAACAAAGGATGAGTTATTTGCAAGCGGAGGTTTTAAGGACAATTGGTAACGTAGCAGGGCAAGACAAACGCTGTGACTGCAAGACCTTCGCTCAGGAGCAACTCAGCACAGCAGCTGCATCCTGGAAAATTAATACTTCAGCACCCCCAAAATGCCTGCAAAGCCTTTGAGAGCTTGCAAAAACCAACCCTGGAAGCCCCAGCAGACATCTGATCTGCTCACTACAGGGATTATCACACGTCCCCCACCCCAGCTCAGTGCGGGGACCTGCCCTGCGTGGAAGCATGCCCCCAGCTGCAGAGAGCTCCAGCAGCAACTGTGGGGACTCAGGGTAGCATTGTCAACGGAAAGCGATCACATTTTGGCCTCAAAGCTAAAGGAGACAACCCCACCACCACCCCCAAATGCCAAAATCTCCCTCTCCATCCCCACGGGCACTCGGAGCAGCCCCTGCTCCAACCCAGGTGTCCCTGAGCAGAGGCAGGTGTTAAGGAGGTTAACGCAGAATCATGTCAAGTAACAAACACCTAGTATTTATTAATAAATTAGTACACTGGAAGGCAATTTTTCAATTCATTCCCCTCTTCCCCCACTCCCACCCCTTCCCATGGGGCGGCACACGCCACCCTCATCTCATGACTTCTTCAAATTGAGCGTAGTACAGACTGTTCGTTACGGGAGCATAATAGTTGCAAATATAATCAGACAGACTTCTTACGATGCAGCTTTTTTCCCCCACCCCCCTTTTTTTCTTTTAATAAAAAGTGAAGTGTGATTTGAAGAGACTATTAAGACCGGGTAAGGTCCTCGGAGAACCTGTCGGCCATGTCTGTATAAAAAACAAGAGACACGAGTGTAAAAGCATAGCTTGGTTTAAGTCTTACACCACGAGGAGAGCAGCACCACCGGCGCCTGCCTTCGCCTCCCCATGTCCAGCACCGGCTCCCTTCGGGGCCCCGCCGTTCCCGCAAGCGGCAAGGCAAGATAATTCCTTACATTCGACTGAAGGCAAAGGACCTTTTCATCACCTCGAACGTTGGTGGGACTGACCCTTTTCTTTGTGTTTAAAGCGCTTCTGCTTTAGCTTATAGGAGCACGATGCATTGTCCGGGTGAAAACATACAATAAATAACCGTGCTAGTAAAATCTCAGCAATGGATATGAGCTATACAATAACACATTTTAAAACAAACAAAAAAAGTCAGCTCGGGTGGGAAGCTTAGCTGCGTTAAGAGACGGTAACCAGCAACGATTGGGGATTTTTTTGCGTGTGTTTGCCATTTACCGCTCCGAGGCAAAGGGAGGTGGTGGGAGACGGTCACTCCGAGCGACGGCTTTGACAGAAGTGGGTTACAGAGCAATCCCCAATTTGATGTGTTAAATTACACCAGATTCGTGGTCTTTTAGTTCGTTAACTGCATTTTTTTTTTTTTCTAAAGTGCATTGACTGATCTGATTGGAATGAGAACAAGGAAAAGAGATTCTTGGGAAGGGGGCAGAGGGTGCAGACTTGGACTGAGCGATAGAGTTAAGGTGGAGGGGTGCAGTGCTGGCAAATTGCCCCCCTCCAGAAACCAAGGACACCTCAACGAAAATACTGGCCATATATTCTACAACAAAACCTGCTTGCGTATTGTCAGTCATCTTAACGAGTGCCAAGCTAGCTCTAGCAAATATTCGGAGAGTGCGTGGTGACCAGTGCCTACAGTAAGTCGGGAAGGTGGCTATAGACAGAGTCCAGGAGGGTCTGGCTGGCTTCCTGGCTCTTGACTCCGGCGATCTCAAATAGCCTGTCCAGCTTGTCTTCAGCCTGCGGGATCTCCTCTATCACGTGGAGCTCCTCAGGGTTGAGGATGTGCAGCATATCGTCAAAGATGGGCTGCAGGTCGCAAGGGTCCAAGCGCACCTGGCGCAGGACGGTGTCCTTCTTTTCTGTAGGAGGAAAGGAGAGGGTGGTCAAGAAACCCCTCAAGAAACCTCTGCTAACCAAGGCTTGTTCTCCTTGGAGACCTCGGTCCATCCCCTGGTGCCACCTCTGGAGAGGGACACGTCACGAGGAGAACCAAGGGAAAAGGTGGAGGGTGATGAGTGATGGGGAGGGAAGAAGATGGAGAAGCCAGCGCTGCTGAGGTACCTAATCCAGGATCCCGCTAGAGCAAACACAGCATTTATAAATGCTGAATGGCCAATACGGAAAAGTGAAGGCAGGAGGGGAGCCAAAAAAGCTGAATTCTGCTCTTTTGAGTTGTTTTTGTTGGGTCAGCTTCATTTCCACACCCAAGTATAAATTTGGTAGATTGACTGAGCTCAGTGTTTCACCTTCATGAGAAGTTAAAAGATTAAATGCAGCAAGTTAAATGCAGTAATTTAAACCCCTCAAAAAAAAAAGGAGGGGGGGAGGAAACTAACAGTGATTAATCTCTCAAGCCACACGTTGCAGCAAGCAGGACCAAGGGTGGGGAAAAAAAAAATTCCATCTTGAAATGACATTTTTCTGATTTCATCTCACGCAGTAACTCACAGGCCAACACAACAGCCAGAAGTCAGGAGAAGCCCCCCTGCCCCCAAACATCCAGGGATGCTACAGCTTCTCTGGCAGCACTTTAAAGAGTTAAAAGCCTTTACAGGTGTTTTCCCCTCTCAAATCTGTATCATCTTTACTAACAGGATATTCTGGTCTGGAACGAGGATGTGATAAATGTATCCTGGAGAGCCAGTTTTCCTAGTTATCTACTTTAAAGATATCAACGTGGGGCGGCTCTGCCACGCATGCCGACCGCGGGGCACGTGCCGTGGCATCCCTTTG